CTCCTCCTCCTCCTCCTCCTCCTCCTCCTCCTCCTCCTTCTCCTTCTTCTTCTTCTTCTTCTTCTTCTTCTTCTTCTTCTTCTTCTTCTTCTTTTACTTTGTCGTCGTCGGCGTCATCAAGACGTCAGAGTTCGACGTTGTCCTCATACCCGTCATCATCTTTATCATTGCGCTGGTAAGTGTTCCATAATCACCAACTATTTCTTTTATTCTCTCATATACAATTCCCAAACCTAAAGTAGGTAGGATTGAGCGCCTTGTTTACTCGGATAAGGATGACATAATATTTTGGAGGTCCTGTGTTGAACTTTCGCACGTGATAGATTCTTTGGCGATTAGTCTCTGGGGGGCCGCCTTCCAGACAAAAATCAAGATTAATGACTACCCAAAATTGAAGCTACCCTATTCAGTATCATTATTAAGAACATCTTCTATGAGGACACTTGGCAACAACAGCAAGGGAATAGAAATGGGAATCGTATAATTATACATTTCATAATCTTTCCTCTAACAGTAGGACTACATCGCCGCTAAATGCTTCTGCATTAATTATTTTTCTTAATTAATCTTTCTTTTTCTTTTTTTTTTTGTTGCTATGCGGGTTATCCCTGGTCCCCATCCTAACTTTTGTTTCTTTATTTCTCTGTGCAGAGGTTTTACATACCTACTTCCCGACAGTTAAGACGAATTGAGCACGTGACCAGGTCCCCAATCTACACACACTTCAGGTGAGTCAGGAGTGCTGTGACATATTACAATTCACTTCATTTTACACATATATACACACTTTAGACAACATGGCTACACACACTTCAGGTGAGTCAGGAGTGCTGTGACATATTAAAATATACTTCATTTTACACCTATAATATACACACTTCAGACAACATGGCTACACACACTTCAGAGAGCATGTGTACATATATTTTAGGATGATCTTAATTAAATTGTGTCGCCTGGGGGATAAAATGCCTACATTAAAAACGGGCTTGAGAAAAGTCATGGATAAAAGCCTACTTGAGCCCCCC